AGAAACCAAAGTTGCAGCCTTCTCATTTTGAGCCTCGCAAAGAGCAACACTGCATTTGTTGCAGCCATGAGCCCTAGAAGTCTCTGAATGTTGTAGGCCGTGGTGGTAGGCTGTGTGCACAGTTGAACAGCCAGAGATATTATGTCGTCGGCTCTGTCTGGGGGGAGATAGGCCATGCAGATGTTGGAATCCAGTATTGCTCCTATATATTGGATGCGCTGAACTGGAGAAAGATGTGACTTGTGGAGATTGACCTGGAGGCCTAGGTCGGCCAGTAGGGACAAAGTGTCTGAAACGTTGGCTTCTAGGGTCTCTTTTGATGATGCGACTATCAGCCAATCGTCGATGTAAGGATACACCGAGATTCCCTTGAGCCTTAGGAATGCTGCCACCACCACCATGGTCTTCGTGAATACTCGAGGGGCACTTGACAGCCCGAATGGGAGAACCGCGTACTGGAAATGGTCCTGGCCGATTGCAAACCATAGGTATTGACGGTGGAAAGGGTGGATTGAAAGATGAAAATAGGCGTCCTGTAGATCCAGGGTAGCCATCCAAACACCTTGGCAGAGCAACGGCATGATCTGTTGGAGTGAGGTCATGCGGAAACGCCAGTATGCCACAAAGCGGTTGAGGCCTCGGAGGTCCAGAATGGGCCGCAAACCTCCGTCCCATTTGGGGACCGTAAAATATCGGGAGTAGAATCCCTTCCCCTGGAGGTGGGAGTGCACACGTTCGATAGCCCCTTTCTGCAGAAGGAGGGATACCTCCCGGAGGAGGGGTTGGGAGGGGGGCGTGAGGACGAAGACTGGTACTTCGGGGTTCTGGTGGAACTGAATCCTGTAGCCTTTGGTCAAGATGGAGAGGACCCATTGGTCTGATGTTATTGCACGCCATACATGGAGGAAAGGAGAGAGGCGGGTTAAAGTAAAGTTGGGAGCTGACTCGGGGATAGGGAAGTCAAAAGCCCTGCTTGGAGGCTTGTTTGGGCTGCTTGGCACGAGGTTGTTGTTGATTCGTGCCAAACCTTGGCTTCTGGTAGCTCTGCCTCTGGGACCCAGAATAGGTTCTAGGACGCCACCTAGGTTCTGGAGATTGGTGAGTCTGAGTTCGCCGCTGCCAGGGTCGTGGCCATGTGCGAGACCGTTGTGGTTGTCTATTTGAAGACGATACTCCTAGTGCCCTGGAAGCTTTAATGCTCTTATCAAGCTCCTGGAGGGAGGAATCGGTGTTGGCATGGAATAGACCGAGTCCATCGAAAGGCATGTCTTCAACCTGTGCTCTGGTGTCAACCGGAAGGGCAGTACTTCGGAGCCACGAATGACGTCTCAATGCAATTGCGGACGTCATAGTGCGCGACGAAGCTTCTAAAATGTGCTTAGTGGTCGTAAGTTGCTGTTTGGCCACTATCAAGCCCTCTTTCTGGAGAGCCTTAGCCTCACCCTGCTTCTCTTGTGGAATGGTGTTAATTAGATCGGTAAACTTTTCCCAAAGGGAATACTGGTAGCGACTCATGCACGCCAGATAAGTGGATTGTTTGATTGCCAGTGCGCCTGAAGAGTAAAACCTGCGTCCAAAAGCATCGCGCTTTTTACCTTCTTTATCCGATGGAGTAGTGTGCGTACGTCGAGATTTAGAAGACGATGTCACTATCATTGAGTTAGGAGCCAGATGTGTCATTAAGAATTCCGCTTCTGGGTCCTGAATTTTATACATATGATCCAGCTTTCGCGTGGATACTGGAGCGGAGAATGGGTTCTTCCATGGAGACTTAGCCGCTTCGACCAAAACGGAAGACATGGGGAGGGCTATAACAGATGAAGTGTCCATTTGAACAACATCATATAATGAGTCGGTAGACTGAGGAGGCTTTTGGATGACAGAAAGATTCAAAGCAACGGCCATTCTTTTAATCAAGTCCACATAAGCATGCAAATTATCGGACGGTGAAATTGGCAGGTCATGAGCCACGTCCGGAGTAGGGGACGTGTGATCTGGAGATGTAGGTATGACGGAAACCTCGGAATCGGAACCTTCCTCCATATCATCCGATGAGTCTTGTTCTGAATCAGTTTGAGGCGTGATATGGACAAGTGGTACTGCAGGCACCAATGGTTTAGGTGGTGGGACCGCAGGTTGTGCCTCTAGTGTCAATGGAGGAGGATCAACTGGAGGCCTTGAAATCGTTGCAGAAGGTCGCAACTTAGTAGGTGAACGAGATCTGTGGTCGGAACGAACAGAATAACGGTCCCAGTCTGAATATGCAGCATGTTGGAGCCACGGCATTGGAGGGTGGTATGGCCCGTAAAGATACCTCATTTGCCTCTCATCCCATGAGAGTGGTGGCCAAAAGGATCGAGGAGAGCGGCTCCTAGCTCTAGCATGTCCTTGTCCTTGGGCTGCATGACAATAGCCAGACACATCGGTATCGACAGCTTGAACCAGCTGAGAGGGATGGTAACGCTCCACGTTATGTCTCGGTCGGTACCGACAGCTGTCGGTATCGGGCAGTCTCGAAAGCATCGATGCCGATGAAGTGGATCTTGCGGGGGGAAACTCTGCACCTATTGGGTGACTCATGAGTTCCGCCGTATCGATATCGACAATCTCTGGAATCTGTTGGCTTAAGGAAGAAGCCAGTAGACCAGAAGGCGACATTCTAGGAGGTTGAAGCTCCGGTATCGACGCCTCAGTCGGTATCGACGCCTCTTTCGATATCGATGCAACTGTGGATTCCGGCACTAACTGTGCTGGGGTCTGCAAAGGAACGCCCTCAGAGGGCCCTGTCTTACCCTCCTTAGACGACCTGGGCCACTTATCCTTCCTAGTAGAATGTCCTTTCACAGGCTTGCCTTTAGTTGACTGTGTTGTAGATTTGGAAGCGGTTTTCGATGTCGATTTCGTCGGTATCGACGCACCGGTATCGACAGCTGGTCGTGAGGTAGACGGCTGGTCCGCCATCGGAGAAGACGGGTGAAGCGCGGATTCTAACAAAGCGACCTTCAACCGTGCTGCACGGTTCTTCTTCGTCTGATTCGAGAATTCACCACAATGTTTACAAGTTTCTGGCTTATGAGACTCGCCTAAGCAGAATAAACAAAGTTTATGGCCGTCTGGAGGAGCCAATTTACTTCCACACTTCTTACAACGATTAAAAAATCCCCACTTCTTAATCTTCTTCGTTTTCTTTTCCATACGGCGAGAAACGAGCAAATGCCGAGGAAAAGGAGAGGGGGGGGAATGGCCCAAGGGCCTGAGGAAAATTCCCCTCACGAAAGTAAAAGTCCTTCCTTTTTTCTTTTTCTTTTTAAAAGAAAAACTAAAGAGAGAAGTTAAACGGAGGACGAATCTGAAGAAAAGAAAAAATTAAGCAGATGCCCGAAGGCGGCTACAACAATCCGGTCAGGAGGAAAGGCAAAAAGGGTCCTTTCAACGCGGCGGTAGAAAAGGAACTGGTGGGATGTCCGCGCTCGTCCCTCTGGGCATGCGCAGTGGGGTTCCTGCGCATGCCTGAGGGGACTCGCGTGAAAATCCGTTGAAACAGAGCTTGCTACAGCACCGGTTGGGTCAGCGTGTGCGCATTAAACCCATTGGTGTGAAGCACAGAGACCACGAAGAAGATCATCACCGTACAGACAATACAAAATTAATCGATGGCTTTATGCTCCAGTTATCAAAATGTTATCACATGATTCTGTCTGAAGGTTTCCAAAGCAACACAATAACAACAACAACAACAACAACAACAACAACAACAATAAATCTATAGTTATACATCATTTTGTTATCCAGTATTGGTTGCTTAGAGTTTGAATAAGCCAGTTTGGAATCTACTTAAACCAAATTCACACATTCCACTTAAAGAACTAATTTTTAGCCCTTCTTCCATTATCAGCATGCATGGGGGGGGGGAGAGATATAAAAGCAATTATAAATTAAAAGGATCAGAACAGTTGTAAATGTACTTGTTCCGGGTTTCATAATAAATCAGTGGCCATAGAGGAAGACAGATTTAGAACCACTTTCCAATCTTACTATGCTTTATAAAGTTCATGCAATTTTTGGTCTCAGAATTCACTATTAGGCAATTCTAGGCCATCGTCTGTGACTGCAGTTTATAAAAAGCAGCTCTTTGGCATGGCAGATTATAGCAACAATTTTCCTTTCCTAGTACCACTTTTTATATTTTGCTCATGGGCACTAAGGAATAGGAGGTGTATGTTAATAAAAGCAAGGAGAAAGAAGAAAAATAATCACTATGTAGATTTTTATTCAAAAGCACGTATTGGCACATCAATGTAGATCTAAGTATCCTGGTATATATACCCTCACATAGCCAGTTTTACATGGATTTATAGTTTATTCACATTTATACCGAGTAATCTGAGAATCAGTTCCCAGGACACTTAAAATGTACAGCATAATGCATTTTTGCTTTGTCTGTTGTGGATCTAGGCCAAAGTTGAAATAACTTTAAACACAGCAATATATTTAAAATGCAGAGGTTCAATACACATTTTAATTGAATAGGTAACATATGGGCATGTTAGCCCTTCAATAGAGATCTGAGGAACAGAGAAAGAGAAGAAAATATGCTAGACCTTAACCTCAGGATCTGCTAATAGACCTTATGCTAGACCTTAACCTCAGGATCTGCTGACTTTGAGCAGATTTGATATGTCAGCTATGCAAAGATTGAAAAGAAATCCCAAACCATCTCACCAGTCACAGAAAAGCAAGAAAACATAAGCCAGCTTGGGCAGTCAAAAATGTCTTTGGTGAGAGTCAAATTCCACCAGGCTCATAAAGGCAGATTTCACTGTATATCATTGTGTGTGCCTAGTGTGCCTAGTGTCTGCTTGTGGTTAATCACAAAACAGATGTATATGACATTATATAGGCCACAGGTCTGCCTTGGACCCAAGTCTGTATAACAATACATTGTTCTGAGTAACAACATTTTCCAAGCCAACTGACACAAAAGTATTTTCCTTGCCTACCTTCATACCAGGTTCTCCCTTTCCACCCTGTGATAGGGGAAAAAATGCAGAAACAAGAGAGGAAACACAGATAGAAATGCTGAATATGAAGAGAAATCAGGAAGAATTAGAATTTCAGCTGCAACAACAAATTAAAGACAGATTTAAAAGATTAGCTCTCATAAAGGCTAAACCCCTACAAAAGGCATTTGACCAGAGACTGTAGCTGCACAGGGCTTAATTTGTGCAATGGCTCATCCCTGGCACAAACCTGGAACATATAAGGAAAGAAGAAATGAAAGCACTTCTGAGCAATTACAGACTTAATTTCTTGCACCAAAGATTAACTAAGGATGAGACAATATTTCCAAATAGACTTGCATCTATACTTCTACAAATTAAGGACTGCGATAATGAGACAGGGGGAGAAATGAGCCCATGCAATAATCACTCCTACTACATCACTTCTGAGCCAAAAAAATGTTTCCAACCATATATGTGCAGAAAATTTTCTCTGATTATATACACATATAACTGAGGCATTTTGGAATTTGGCTGTTTTGTACAACCAGAGAACAAGTGCCTGGGCAAGTTCAAATTCACTGTCACAAGGGAAATCTTATGAGATGAATCCCATCTCCTTCAGAAACAGAAGGAGGATGGGGTGACCAGGAAAGATACAGTTCTCTGTAAGCAATGGCATGTATCTATGTGTATGGGTTCCAAAAGAGGCAATATTAGATATAGGAGACAAAGTATTTTGAAGAATGTAAATATTTTTGTGCTGAAAAGTGAAAGCTAAGGTTGTTATGAAGAGAATGGTAAGACTGGCCTTTCTTTCACCATGCCAAATGAGGAAAAATCAGATTATTATAAAAAGAACAAAATATAGATTAAACATTGGGAAGAGGAAAACATTCTAATTTTCAGAATACAGCACAGAATAAAGTTCATCACTATATTTGTTTTACATCAGTTTAAGAGTCATGGCTTCCCTCAATAAATTTTGGGAATTGGTTTGTGAGGGTGCTAAATAGCTTCTGTCACATATTCCTAACTCACAGAATGAAAAGTTCCAAAGTCTCCCTAAGGAGACAGAATGGTTGAGTTCAGACGGGCCGTTTGAAGCAGGAGGGAGTCGTGGCAAAAAAGACCCGGAACAAACTGTTGCAGCTTTTCCGTTCACACTGCAGCGCATAAGAAAAATGCGGCTTTTGGCGTTCACACTTTGTTGGTGCGGGATGGACGCGGGATAATCGCGCTTTCCGGGGTTTGCTACCACTTTCACCAGGTATCTTTTAAACTCGGGAGCGAAGCGTTACAAGACAGGTTGAGTACGGGTGGGGAATGCCAGACAGATGTGCCTGTGTAAACGGCCCATTTAATCCGGTTGTGAAACGTTCCCCACACGAGCCTACGTCGGGGCAAACTGCCCGTCTAAACTCAGCCAATGACTAACAAACCAGTTTAAGCCGCAGGAATAGAGACATCCCAAACAAACAAACAACAACAAAATATCCTTTTCTGAAAGATTCTCTGACAAGCTCATCAGAACAAACAATCTAACATTACAATCAATTTATCTGTTTGTACACACCATGCATTAGTTCATTAGCATATTAAGGGTGGAGCTGGATGTTATACTTGACAGGAGATGTCTGCTGAAAATAGCAGCCCCTTGTTGAGTTCTTGTTGGCAGCCCCTTGTTGAGTGCCAGTTTGGTGTAGTGGTTAAGTGCGCGGACTCTAATCTGGGAGAACCGGGTTTGATTCCCTCCACTTGCACCTGCTGATGTGACCTTGGGTCAGTCACAAGCTCTGGCACAGCTGTTCTTGAAAAAGGGCAGTTTGTGTCAGAGTTCTCTCAGCCCCACCCACCTCACAGGGTGTCTGTTGTGGCGAGGGGAAGGGAAAGGAGTTTGTAAGACGCTCTGAGACTCCAAGTGAAGGGCGGGGTATAAATCCAATCTCTTCTTCTTCTTCTTTCACCCCCATAAAATTTAGGCAACTTTCCCGTATTTTGACGTCACCATGCTATATATTTTCCTGCAACCACCAGCCAATACAAAACTGAGGAAATACACAATATGATGAGATTAAGACAGGCAAGCATACTTAAACATTATGGGGATGGGGAGAACTAGGATGTCACTAGGATGGATGTCCGCATTTGGCAGCAACCCCATAATGTGCATAATATTTTGTCGTGTATTATCAGTGTCTGACATATATCCCACTGCAGACATGAACTAAGGAAAGATTCCACTACTTTTCAAATTGCACTGCAACCCATGTCATTTAAAATGACCAGCAAATAAGACAATTGGTCAACCCTCAGGTAATTCTCAAAACATCAGATATTTGTCATTCTTCAGGCTGCACAGAACAGTAGCTTAATTAAATATGCTTCGAATTGCAGCTTTATTTAGATTCTCAAATAGTCATATTAAGTTTCATATGAAGCAACTTGTCAGTTAAAAGGAAAACACATTGTCAGCTAGTGTAAACAAATAGAAAGGAATAGAGGACTCTGTGCCACCTTTAACAGACAGACATGACAGGGAGCTTTAGTGAGAGAAAACTTCTCTCATCAAATTATCAAGCTGAATCTGTTTAAATGTTAATTCCCATACGTCTACTACAGGTAAGGGAGCCTAGTTCTCTCTTGTATCTGCTCACTGTCTTATCATCTTCAAAAAAAAACCAGTTGTCACCCTTTAACATCTGTATCACATTCTAAAGAGTTGTATATAACTGTACAAGGAATACATGCTGTAGTAGTATTAAGGTGAACTGAGAATATGGGAGGTTGGTCATGCAATACAGAAGTTACCTTTGGGCCAGTAGGTCCAGGAACACCAGGGGCACCAGCTAAGCCAGTTTCACCCACCTCGCCCTGAGGATAAGATGTAGAGAAATGCAAGAAGAAGCAGATACAAAGAGGTGCAATTTTTATGGATAACATGAAGTATACTTAAATCTCACAACACTGTTGCTGGCCTGTCTAGTTAAGTGTTGCTAAAAGTTAGAAAGGAGAAGCCCTACAAATATCACTACTCTCCTATGCCTTTAACGCAGTGATTCTTCTTTTTTACAATTACTAAACAAATATAGTCTTTCTCTGGTTATCTAGCCCAGACATTTAAATATTTTTACGTTGGGATTTTTTGTGCCTTGTTGAGGCCTTTGGGGGGGGGGTGCTTTATTACTTTGGAAGCCTGAAAACTATTCCTTTCAGATGTATTTGTTTGATTATTTTTTCAAATTTTGACTCAATTTTCTTGGCTTTTTCAAACATTAAACCTTTGTTTGAATGTATAAGCATTCCTAATGGGGAATAAAAGTGTATTTGAGTGGGAGATATCTGTACTCACTCTGATCAATATGGGTTTTACAGGTGTTCTGCATTACAAACTCCTGAGGCAAAAACATCTTTAAGGCCTCATGTATGAAATCATCCTCCTACTCCTGCATGTGATGGAAAACAAGGCCTTTGCCTGCTTAGTGAGAACTTCTGCCTCATCATGGCTTTTACCCCAGCCTTCCAAGCTGTTCGGCATTAATTGATACCAACTCCAGGACTCTTACAGAATGAAATCAATTCAGTTTTTTCATTGATTAAAAAAATCTAGGGAGATTAACAATCCCTCTGTAAGAAAATTTAACCTTTTATTTGATTTACACACACACACAACCTTGTATCAGTGACATGTTCTGTCCTTTGGAGAGAAAAGTCTCTAAACACTGCAAGGACAGCTAATGAAGAAACCACAATTTTCACTGAAAAAAGGAGGCCCTAAATTGTAAGTGCCAACAAAAGAATAGGCTTTGGCCTACAGGGACTATGGTTTTTAGTTCCTCAGAAAACAAGCTTCTCAAATTACACATATCTAATGAGAAGGCACTGAGGTCTTGCCATTTCAGCCACAGACTGCCCATAAAACCCTGCATGTGTTACCATTACACAATGAGAACAACTGCTGGCAGCTGAGAATATTTCCATTTCTACTGTTCTTTTTTGCTTTTCTCTCTCTCTGCTGTCCTCTTTCTTAATATTTTATCCCTCAACTAATTTATTTTCTCTCTGCCCTGTTTTCCCATTCATTGAACTCCCTCATTTAAAGACTTTTGATTTAAACTACCTCAGGTATTTCAAGGGTAGTTAGTTACACAAAACTATTGGGAAGTTTCACACAATTAAAATTTTCTTCCCACGAGATCTCAGTATTCCCAGGCAGGGGTCATTTCCTGCAGGAGCGCACAGGAGCGGAGCTCCAGCAGTAAAGAGCCCAGGGCCCCTCCCCCTACCTTTCCCAGCACCTAGCTGGTGTGGGGTGGAAGTGGTGGCAGGGGCTTGATTGGGGGGATGGGTCATGGGGGATGGTGGGGTCTTGATGGGGGTGGGTGGGAGAGCCTCCCTCCCTCCCCATCTGTTTGCCCTCTTTCTTTCCCTCCTTCTTTCCTTCTCTTTCTTTCCCTTTTCCCCTCCCTCCCTCCTTCCTTCCTGCACAGATCTGTGCGTGTGTCCCCCCCCATAGATAGCAATCCAAAACAGTCCAGTGACAGCTTTAAGACCAAGTATTATTCAGGTACAAGTTCTCCCTCCTCTGTGAGGGCAGATCTGCGTGTTGTCCCCCCCCATAGCTAGCAATCCAAAACAGTCCAGTGGAGCCTGAGCAGTGTGTGTTGCCTTCTGACACACTTCCGGTAATGTCAGGGGGTGGGGCATATGCAAATAAGTTATGCTACTGAGCTATGCTAATGAGCTCCTGCACCTCTTTTTGAACAAAATGACCCCTGTTCCCTGGTATGATTGCCAACTTCAGGTTGGGAAATTCTTGGAGATTTTAGGGTGAGCCTGGGGAAGGTGGAGTTTCAGGAGAAGAGGGACCTCAACAGAATATAATACCATAGAATCCACCCTCCAAAGCAGCCATTTTCTTCAGTGGAACAGATCTCTGTCATCTGAAGTAATTATGGAAGATTGCTAGCCCCCCTCCTGGAGATTGGTAACCCTATCACCAGGGGGAACAAGACATGGCCTGGACCTTCCATATATATAGTCAGTTCCATAATGGCAATTTTCCATTTAGGATGCAGAGCTTGCTTTCCAGGATTTACAGTACGGAATAAGATTTTAATTGTATGAACTGAACTTAGATGATTAGCCTGTAATTGCCATGATTAATTTACTCATCTTTGTACAGACAAAGTAGATGACATCACGGTCAGCACATTGCATTCCAGTACTCCTTGTTTTGTTTCCTTGCATTTTTTAAATACCTAATTCATAGCATTTTTTAAAACTTCAAATCAATTGCAATGTTAGGCTGTCCAGTGTAGACAGTCAAATCACCATTGAAACTTTCTAGGGCTACTGTTCCTCTAACATTTCATGTTATTCTTCTCATTCCATTGTAATTAGTTATTTCCTTCCAGCTGGCTGGCTGTTCCTCTTGCCGCATTCATTAATAAATACTTAATTTTCTGCTCTTGTTGGGGATAGGCATAATAATTGTTTTATGGCTTTGTAGCAAGCCAAAACATTGATTCCCCCCTCGTTTTTTATTATTGAACCTTTGTAATTATCATCTTACTATGAACAATGATTTTTATCTTGATACAAATTAAAATAGTGCATTCCTTTTATTCCTTACAAGAGCTGATAATTAACTGTTCATGTTCCATAGAATAAATGGCCAGCTGGGAGAGAACAGAAATTAATTTATCTGGCTAAAAACTCAGGGAGGAAAAGAAAAAGGCCAGAAGAGGTCTTTGCTAAAGATTTACTTCAGAGTAGACCTACAGGAGGCTTTTGCCATGGGGCAGGAATTGCCAGATTTGTAAGGGGAACCTAGCACTATAACATGCTGTTAGAACCCTCACTTCAATTCTGTTCTAACCATGATGTAGAAAAGGGATTCTTCAGAACTACCAAAAGATCATCATGAGAAACCACCTCTGTATGGTTCACTTCAAAATGTAAAGAGTGAATTGGCAAACACATTCTGCTAAGGAGCCGGAAGCTCAGTGGTAGAAGACATACTTCGCATGTAGAAAATTCCAGCTTCAATCTTTGACATTTCCAGTTAAAGGTTCTGGGAAAGATCTGTATCCGTCTGAGGCCATGGAAAGCAGCTAACAGTCACAGTAGACAATACCAAGCTATATGGGCCAATGGCTTGAATTTGTATAAAGAAGCTTTATATGTTCATATTTACAAATAGATATTCTATACAGATAACACTTTACAGAGAGCCATGATTATCTGCAGTTGTTCGTTGAGTGTACACTCACTGTCAATTGCAGGTCAATCTCTGTGTAAGTTGTGAAATGGCTCACAGAGAAATGCTTCAAACTCATGAGTCAAAGCTAGATCTACCAGAGACTATCTGCCAAGCTTATCTAATTATAATAAAGGCTTCTACTGCTGATGACAGCCATGCGTTGTTCTATGGAACAGACTTTGGCTCTGGGAGACCCAGGTTCAAGTCCAATCTTTGCCTTGGAAAGGGGAACTTCAGTCTTTTGTCCGCAAACTGGAGCCATCAGTGCCCTCCTTCAGGAAGCTTTGTGAGGGCAAACTCAGCAACAGTAGTAAAAAGTTTTACGTATGAAAATTGCTGTACGAAGAACAAATGGAAACCACTTGCTTATCAACCACTGCAATGGAGGTTCTGCAATTTCAGTTTAACAATTTCTCCCATTTTTAAATTACTCTTATAGCTAAGAAGCATGCCCCAATGATTTAACCTAAGAGCCCAGAACCACTGAGACTCAACCCTATGATCCACCCCTACCCATAAGCAATCAAAAAAAATTAGCAGCACAATAAAACAAGGTAAGGATCATAAAAGCCACAGAAGCTTCAAACTAAATGGCTTATCAAATATATTAGGGAACAAAAAAGCAAGATAAGGTAAAGGTACCCTATGACATGCCACAGGCCAATTAAAAGGTTTGACAGGGAGGATACAATACAATCCTTTCATGGTAGGTTCTTCTTTGGTTACCAAAGAAGAACTTGAAGCTGAAATTGAATCCGTATACAGAAGAAATTCCAGCTATGCCAGAAAGCATAAAGTCCCTCGTGAAGTCCATGTAAAATTTTATAAATGTGAAACCAAAGAGAAAATTATAAGAGCGTCATATGAGAATAAAGTAACTATGCAAAATGCGGAAATAAGACTATTAAGAGAAGTACCATGGAGGGTAAGAGAAAGAAGATCTATATACTATGCCTTGACTGACTTACTAAAAAACAACCAGATAACATTCAGATGGCTGATCCCAGAAGGAATCCTCTTTGAATTCAAAGGAAGGCGACAGAGAATTGATTCTATCTTTAAACTACAGAACTTCCTGGAAAGACATGGAGAAGACCTGGGCTGGCAAAGGGAGGAGGGAGAACAAAGCAGAGAAAGCGAAGCAGAGGAAGGAGAACACAGAGAGGATCAGGCCGTGGGAACAGCCAAGAAAACAACAATGAGGAAAGACAGAAAAAAACAGGCAGTAGCCGCATTTCAGATGTTAACACGCTTTAGGTATAGGAATAAGGACAACAAAAACAATGGGGCCACTGGAACACACTAAAAAATTTAAAATACTTTCAATTAATGTGAATGGACTGAACAGCCCTCAAAAAAGGAAAAAGACTTTCCACCAAATTACAAAAATGCAGGCAGACATAGTCTGCCTACAAGAGATGCATATAAAAAAGAACGATATAAGATACCTCAGATATAAAAAACTTGGGAATGAATTTATAGCGGCAAGTGACAAAAAAAAGAATGGTACGGTGATATATGCTAAAGACAACCTAAACCCAGAACTAATACATGCATCTGACGATGGAAGAATTGTAGCAATCAAAATTGTAAGAAATGGAACCGAAAC